CCCCCCCCCCCGTTTTTTTTTTTTTTCAAGGAAGTTCTCAAAGGAGCAAAGAACTGAATGAGAGAACTTCTGGGGAAAAAATTGTTCTTTCAAGGCCAGATAGTGAAACACATGCATAATATAAATTCACACAGTTCTCAGTGTGTCAAAATACACTCAACAGTTGTTAATCAGTATCTTTTTATCATATGTATTTTCTTTTAAATCATAGAAAAAATTTAAGATATAAAATGCTATTGAGTTCTTAGGTGCAGAAATAACTGTTTGATGTTTATTATAATTTAGCGTTACTCCACAACCATACATTTTCAAGGTAATTCTCTTTTTAATATACTGTACTGTATTTTAGAGAGATATTGAAAATATTAGAGTTCAGGATATTTCAGGAATTACAATTTATTTTTATCTTCATCTTCCAGCCATGATAGCTGGGCACAATAGAGTTACAGCTGCATAGGAGCTCATACTGCTTATTCTGGAACCGCTGCACTACTAATGTCACAGTAATTTATAAATAGGAGTTTAATGTGTCTATTAAATCAGTGACAATTTCACTAAACAGTTAGGGGTGACTAGTTAATTTTGGAAGCCACCTGGAAGAGCACACAGATTTACAGCATTAATGTCAGCTGTTATTGGCCAACACACTCAATTCATTTTATGTCTGTTTTTAGAAGACTATTTCAGGAAGTGTCAGGTTACAAATCAAAATATAGTTTAGAAACTGATACAGTCTAGCTCAGTCAGAGATCCTGAGATAATGCTTCATGTTGACACATGATAAGCTGACATTGATAAAGAAAAAAAAAAAATTAATATATTTTGCCATTTTACCTGAATGTCAAAGCAAGGGTCTGGAAATTCTCTGCTTTGGTAGTACGGAGTGCCATGAAGATCCAACAAGTTGCCAAACAAAAGAGAACCTCCCTTGCTAGAGATCCATCTAGCATACCTTAAAAAGGGAAATTGGAATACAGTGTTGCTATGTGACTTGTACAAGTTGGAGAAATGCTAAAAGGCTTACTGTGACATATACCCTTGTTTACATATTTTGCTGTGATTTGACTTCTTAGTACTGTGAAGCTCCAGAAGGCCATGCAAAACAGCATATGTTTAATAAAATTGAAAAAATATTCATGACAATTTTCTTGTGCCAAAGCTTAGTCCTTGCTGAAAGGTGATAGAAATAATCAGAAGATCTGATTTTCAAGAACAGCCTTGTCTTAGCACAGTTTAAAATGACTAACAAGATAGCAGTTGGAATGGACTTTATAAAAGGATTACTTAAAGAGATCTAGCTTTGCTGAAACATTACAAACCGAAACTATTCTTCATTGCTGAACCTATTCTTCATTGCTTTGTTTCAATAGTGATATGCAGGAGTAGCATAATAAAATGAAGGCTCAAGAGAACAAAGTAGATGAGAGAAGTATAGGTTCTTCATTAACAAAATAATACCAGCAAAGTATCAATTTTTAGTTGCTAAACGTGAAACGTGCTTCATATAAGGAGTTAAACATGTAGCATTATTCCGTCATATGTCTTTGTATTTATGTATTCTTGTATACCATTTATGTATTCTTGTATACCATTATCTGTGTGTTAATACATTACATCTTTTTCATACATTGTGCACCTACACAGACTTTTTGTGCTGTCTTCAAGAGTGCAGGCACAGGCAAACAGAGACTTGTACTGAACACAGGTTAGTTGCACTGGAAAATCTTGCAAATTGCTTTTCAAGGCAATAGACACTTTTTTTCTGTTTTTTTTTTTTTTTTTTTTTTTTTTTTCTAGTGTGCAGCAACAAAATATTCTCAGCTTGCCAATTCATTATCTTGCTAATGAAATACTTATGTTTTGCATAATTTTGTTCTTTTAAATCTCCGTTACATTATACCTGCTTGCAAACAAACTGCTTCACATTTTTTATTGCTGTGATCCCCACCACTTAAAAAATGTTATAGTCACAACTGCCCTGGGGCTGTACGGAGTGCACACAACAGTATGTGATACTGCATAGATGAAAAATATTAACTCAATACTGAGAAGTCTTCATTTTCTTCAGAGATTTCCTCATATGTTAAAGCAGAAGCTGTGATGATTGGATGGAAGAAGAGCTTTATATTTGTGACCAGAAGAGAGTTATTTTCTGATGCACAATAATTTCCTCTGCATCTGAAATATGAACAAAGAACTCATTTATGCATTTTATAGTGGATAGTTTTTATTATATTAAAATTAATGTAGACCACCTTCCATCAGACTTAAATCAGCACCTCCTTCGGAACTCAGATGTTACCATTCTTTTCCATTACAGGTAAGTGTCTGGGTGATAGGGCACTCTGTGAAGAAAATTTTGAATTTGAATTTTTCAGACAAAGAAATCTATACTACTATGGCTTTTGTGTGTGTGTGTGTGTGTGTGTGTGTGTATTCTTCATAAGCATTGTGTTAATCTGAAAGAAAAAAAGAAATATAATTAAGGAAAGAAATGCGTGCACTGAATTCGAAAGCCACTGCCCTTTGGAGGAAAATAAATAAATTAATTAAAGCCTGAGTCATCATTGCTAACTGTACCTTATTTGCTTTATATAGACATATATATATATATATATATATTTTTTTTTTTTTTTCTACTAGATTTCTGTTAAGACAGTCTTTATATTTCATTTAAAGCTTTATTTCATTTTACATCAAAAGGATTTTTCCTAGTTTATCATATTCTATGCCCAGAAGTAACAGTAAAAAGTAACTGGAGAGAGACCTGTAAATCATTTCCATTTAACATTTACATGGTACCATCTTCAAGCAGGTGAGAGGAGTTGTTGTAGGGACCACTACAAGTACTGTGTTAATTTCCCCCGGTTAATAGTTTCTGGGTG